ACTGGAGAGAATTCAGGCACTGGGTGAGAGGTTAACACAGAAAACCTGAAGGGCTCGGCTCGGGGATTAGCGCCGGGTGGTAGGGAATCAGAGGAGCAGGTGGAACCTGGTTCCTGCTCTCAGGGACTGGAGAGAGGAATGCGAGGTTCGAGGCTGTGCTGTGAGGTCCCTCCAAGCACAGGGAGTCCTGGAAGACTTCCTGGAGAAGGCCTGTAAGCATGGGCTTGGTTCTGATGGGTGGGAGGCCCTGGCAGGCCTGCAAAGGGCTTGGTGGTTGAGGGGTGGCGAGGCCCCAAGGCTGCCTCCACCTTCTGGCTGCCCGAGGGGGTGGGTGTTTGGTGGTGGTGGTGGTCATGGGGGAGCTGGTAGCTCTCTGTCTCCCAGTCTCTCTTGGAGGAGGGACCAGGGCTACTCCCAATGGCAGAGAGCAAGGGCCTGTAAGGAGCGGAACTGGGGAAAGAAAGACTTCTTATGCCCAGTGCGTTTGGGGGCGTCTGGGGGTCGGAGGAACAGTGGAGCCTTTGTCCCCAGCCGCCGGGAATCTGGCCGAGGAGCCAGGCCTGGGTCTGGCTGGGCTCTCACAGGCAGGTCCTCTTTGAAGTGACCCTTTCAAAGCTCAGCCTGAACCCCTGGGTGGAGAGACAGCTTGGGGCGGGGTGCAAGGATGACGGATCTGCAAGCCAAGGATGCAAGCAGATGCAGTGCCTTTGGGCAGCAGGCTGGCGGGAGGTGTGTGGGCTGGAGGAATGTGGCCAGGCTGGGGGTGCTTGTGGGAGGACAACCGACCCGGGGTCTTGGCCTCCAAGTGGGGGGTCAATATAGGGAAGGGCAGAGTTCATTTTGGCCCCGCTAAAGGTTCATTTGGCTCCTATCATGATTTCTGTCTGATTCTGGGCTCCTAAATTCATAGCTTCTTCCTCTTTTTTAATTTCCTCAAAGAGTGTGAGAGTTCCTTGGAGAGATTGGGGGGTGGGGTAGGGGGGATGTGGGACTTAGAGCCCTAGGTAAGAGAGAGGGGTAGAGATCTGGGTCATCAGAGCTTTTCCTGCTCCTGAGAGCCCCCAAAAGGCTGAAAGGGGGGGCTGAAGTGGAGACTCCCACCCTCCACCACAGAGATCCCCTCATTCTCCGTGGGGAGGAACATCTGGATTGTTCTCCAAAAGGGAGAGGGGAGCGGGGGGTGGGGGGCGGGGAGAGAAGTTCTCTGAGAGGGAACATCTTCAAAAGTTTCAGCTGGTGCCCTGGCTGGTTAGGCTCAGTGGATAGAGCGTCAGCCTGTGGGACAGAAGGGTCCCGGGTTCGATTCCAGTCAAGGGCACATACCCAGGTTGCAGGCTCCATCCCCAGTGTGGGGCGTGCAGGAGGCAGCCGATCTATGATTCTCTCTCATCATTGATGTTTCTATCGCTCTCTCCCTCTTCCTTCCTCTCTGAAACATTCAAATATGTTTTTAAAAAAAGTTTTAACGGGAGATAGGCCACCCTACTTCCTTCTTCT